CTGCAGCAGTCGGTATCTTGTCAGCTAAAACATTGCGAATAGCAAAACAATAGTTCACGATATTTCAAAACCGACTTTCCTTTAACCTCAGTATGACTAATCAATATGTGGAGGAAGACAGAACTCGATACTAAGGCCAAGACGCCACATCGAGGCGAAGAAAATTGGTGGGCTATCGGCTCGGATCGTCGGCTCTGATGAAGACGAAAGCATCGAAACCTTAACCGAACAAATGTCATATATCAACGTCGTGTAAGCTCATCAAACAAAGAATACAATAGCTCACATTTATTGCTATAAACTTTAAAAAAGGCTTATAACTTGTTTTTTTGTGAGTTTTAGTCCTATGAATTTTAAAAACCAAGTTAGAAAAGCGTAAGGCATCCGGCGTTGATCATTTTTTACCACAGATGAACTGAACACTGCTGAATTCTTGTCATAAGTGTCCATGTATCGAGTCAGTATTTTTGTCCTTTAAGACAAATCTAGTATGTTCAATCTAATAGTTAGAATTAAATTTGCGCTAATTTTTCGATATCAAATGACTCATGGACTTGTAGAGATGCATTAACGACGCTATCATAGACGTTAGCTCTGGTAGCTGTCTATTTCGCCAAATCCTTCAACGATTTCCCTTTGCTGGTAGCGTGAAAGGAAATGTTCCTAAAAGAAATTCATGAATATCGTAATCAAGGACAATTTATGCGTCTATAATACCAAACAGACATCGGACGAAGATCGAGGACTTACGTTTATTCTGCACTTCAGATATTTTGCGTTTTAGTGAGTGAGTAGGGTTTTATTTTTCTCAATTGCTGAGAATACACGTTACATTGGGTAAATAAGTCCTTGTTTGAGTTTAACTGATAAAAAGGTTATGTAGTTTGTTACCAAAATACAAGACCACCCGCCTTTACCGCTAGATAGTAAGTCATGGACAAATTTTCGACGGTGTGCATTGAAATCACAATATTTACTTTTTTGTTTGCTGCCTACTACAGCTTTCACAACAGAGTATTAGGCAAAATTAACGACAATAATGTTGAGATATTCGCAAAACTTGGAACCCGGGCCAGATCGAATCACGATTTCCCTTTTCCGAGGTTCACTCATTCCATACTGCACTACGGAGGCCTTGATCTGCTTTCTCTCAATCTCAGCTAGTTTTTTTTGCGAATATCTCAGCATCGATATGATGTGCATTGATTTCAATGCGCGTAACGTAAATGCGATGGCGGTTTACAGCTCTAGCCGGTATACCTTGGTTCGTAGTGAAAGTTATTAATTAGGGGAAAGTTTCTTATAATCTATAGGCCTTTCCGCAAAAGGCAAAATAGTTTCTTATTCTTCCATAACCAAATACTGATTTTCTGGAACGTATAAAACCTTTTTTCGCTTATTTTCCATCCCGGATCATACTTCGAGCGCTAAAGCAACTGAGTAAGCAGGATTTCGTCATAATATTCCACAAAGTCCCATTAATTTTTGCAATTGTCACATTCACGAGAAATTTTCGATATTCGAGTTTCATTTTTATTTTATGTTAAACTTAGTTTTGAAGAAATTGTAGTTACACATGCTCAAGAGGTAAAAAATATCTAGGCTAATCAATCAGTAATGTCGATGAGCTTGTCATTACCGTTAAGTCGAAAAGAGCAAGGAAAAAACTGAAGAAGGATGAAAATTTTTAATCCTGTGAAAGTACTATGTACCTCTTTTGCACGCCCATAATAATCCTCCTTTTAAGGTTTTTAAGACCTAGAGTTTAGACTCAGACATTGAAGCCACTTATCATACTTAGTGGATTAAACGAGACCATGTAGCATTTCAGGAATTATGTAGGCTTAGTTCAGAGTAGTAATATACCACATTGGAAACTCCGTTTACGGAAAAACATTCCAGTATCGGACAGTTCTTTAATATAGAAGAAATATCCATGAATTAAGCACGCGAAGGCAATATTCACCACCTTTATACATCAGCCTACCACTCTTCTTTTTCTTTTCTTGTTGGAAGGTATAACCAATGAGAATTTATGCTACCGGATGCCATCTATAATGCTGTGGTGTGTGAGAACAGGTGTAGGTGGTCACGATCACCGCGTCTTCTTTCTGCTTATGTCATATTCCATTCCTTGGTGCTCCTTAATTATCCGTTCCGCTGAAGAAGTTTAAACAGTGCTTATGGTTTAATAGTTTCTGGATTATTAAATAAACACGAGGTTGGCCGAATAAAACTTATCACCGACCTAGTGTTTCCCCAATGATCCAAGAAACTATATTTTATCGAATCCGAGCTTACACGAAAATTGGTTTGGAGATATATTACTACGTCTATTGATTTACCCGAATTATGTTTCAACTTCATTCAAGTGCTTTCTACGTGATCTCAGTCAGTTAGTATGTGATCGTTTGAATAGTGTTTGTTTTTCCTAGTATTTTCTTCACATCGACTGATGATCACTTACGTTTTTACTAGTGAACACCGTATTACGAAACCAATGACAACCTGCACACTACTGTAGTGCAGTTTGCACCCATCCACAAAATGCCCAGAGGAGAAGCTAAGGCTAGTCTCCTTTTCTTTTCTGCCGTATGGTTTTTTCCCTTACCACTGTCAATCTGTTCGCTACCTCCTTTGCCCGCAACTTTAGTGCGGTTTTCCTTCTGTCCGGACTTCCTAATGTTTATTCGGTTACACTTATTTTCATTCGCTGGTGCCTGTTTACCACAGTAAAGCCACTATCATAATTCTGATCACTTCGTCTTTTTTCGCATCCGAATGAACCAAAATGAGCATGAAATCCATGTGGATGCTTTGTGCACATGAAAGACGCATGAAAATGCAATAGACATGGCTATCAGAACGATCAGGAAGGAACAGAAACTTTTTAGATGGATTAAATATTGAAGGAAAAAACCATTTTTCATTCAAGCCATTCGCGACGACATGGAAGCTACTGTGTCCACACGTGGTGACACGAGCTCTCCATGTGAACTAAACAGGTTCCATTTTCGTTCTGATGGTTTATTCTGTCTCGCAAAACCTTTTCACCACACTTTTTATAATTACTCGATAGTTCATCGAAAGCAGAGCAATACAGACGAGATCGGACCAGTAAAGCCGCTCTCTTCTCTTGTCAAGTCACTGAACACCTGACTGACAGTTAGCTAATTCATTTGATTGACTAACAATTAACCGTTATTTCATTTTTATCCCTATGGTGAATCGTGGCCACTTTGTGGAACGTATGCTCATGAAAAATATTGGTGGAAAGAACACAACGTGAGCTGCAAAATCCTTCCAAATCCCTACAGCAATGTGTGTGCAATATGATCCTTAGTTAATATTAGACAGTAGAATACCTATCATTCATAAGCATAAAACATTACAGCAAAGGGAGTCTAGCTATCTTGCCATGTTCGCTACTCCAAAGTCTTCCAGTTTTTGAAAAATCTTTGTTTACTGGCAAAAACCAACAAATCCGCAAAGGCTTTAAATCAGGCGTGATCGCCAATTGGTTAAAGCTACATTTCGTGAAATGGATGGCAAACTTTTTCTACCTTGATTCTTTCTTTTATTTTTCTCGACGTGGCAGCACTGTGGGAACAAATTAACTTCGAGGATGGAAAGGTTTCATTTTTTTTCTAAATAGAGAAAGTGAGACTTATCTGGGAGGATAGCAGCACTGGCTCGATGCATCGGTAGGCCACCGATAGTTATTGTAAGGACCAGATATGCATTCAATCATCTCCAACGATACTTAATGAAGTGGAATGCATGGCGCATCCCTTAGAGATTGATCATCACCGAGAGCTTTATCCTTTATTTTTTGAGATATTTGCAAAACTCTGGACCGCAGGTGTCTATGGTGGGGAACGAACGCGCTATTGTCCTTTCCGGGGAGTAACGCGTTCACCACCACACCATGCGGCTCCTTCGTTTCGCCTGTCTCTCAGCTATTTCTATCGATCTTTTTGCCACAGTAATCACCACCATTATTTTTTATTTAAATGGAGAAAGTAGCAACTGCACACAGCTGTGCTCGCTACTAATTTGACTCATTACTCTTAAAATTACGGCCCAATCTCGGTAGTGCTTTATAGTGGGTAGGTTTCCGTCACCGGTACAGCATGATTGAAATTACATTATAAATTCGTCGTTGTTCTTCTTAGCAGGTTTAGCGAGGTTGTTAAACAGCATGCGTTTACTTCCATCCAATAACACACATACAAGACAGTCGTAGCTGACGTATCGCCTTCTTCAGAGCCGTTTTTTACGTGCCAACGTAAAAACGTTTTTCGTGAGACGTAAAACGTTAATAGGAAGTCGATCTTGAGATTACATTATTCCGTTAACAGTCTTCAAGAAAAAGTGAGCACACAAACCAGCCTGTGCACTAAAATTGGGTGAAAATTACGTGCAAAATTAGTGAAAATCACTTTGAAATAAAGTGGAGAAGGGCAAGACCTTTGGCGTAAATCAATCCCTGAGGGATAACGCTTACATTCGACTGCTGCTATCTACCTATTCGACTACCAAGTGTCGTAGAAGTGGTTGAGTGCATGACTGATCTTTGAAATAAGTTGTGAGAGCCTATCTAGTCATCAAAGAAATGCTTTATCCACTTAGAGAAAACTGGTACTAATTTGGCGAACATGGAACGATGTTGAGCTTGATGACACCGTGACGCGGAATTAAACCACCGATCCCGTGCAGATTGTAGGGCAGCTCTGACCGCTTTCCTTCTCGTCGAAATGGCGCATATTGAAGGTTTTATTTCGTTCTAAGCATCAGCTTTAGGCATGTGCGCTCGTCGTCTTTATTCCTTCCAACGTTTTCGTTTTTTTTTTTGAATATTATTTGTTTAAATCTTAGCGTGTTTAGAAATTGTATATTCAAACAGTTGGCTGTCAAACCGCTCGAAGGGTTTCCAACATAATCGAATGATCGGAATTTTCAGATAGATCATCACTTCTTACACTATTACGTTTGCAACTATGAGGGATGAATTAAGCAAAGAAATTCACGATGGAAACGGCAACGAGTCGCAGGAAAAGAATGATACTGAAGTGGATCTGTTTTACGCATTCTCATATTGCAGCTGTGGTAAAAGTGGAAAAAGAATTTCGAAACTCAATAATTGTGGAATGGTAGGATATTTTTGCACCATTTTTACGACATGGGATCGTAATTGACTTTGTAATCGGGTGCTAGCGGTCTTTTTATATCATATCTGTTTCAGATTGTCGCACCAAGCACGTTTTTCCATAACGTCGATCCATCAAAGATTTCACTGCCCCTTTGTGTTAAGGTTATGCGCTCATGGACAGAAATCTTCAATTTCACTACTCGTTCGCTACGTTGCGTACTAGGCGTTATACGTTAACAATATTCAGGTATCATCAATAAGATCTGGTGTGTTCACCCACTGTGGGATACTAGACTACTCAGCGCCAGACGGAATAGTCTACATACCTGAATGGGTTTGTTCATTCACATGAAGTGCCTTCGCAATTTGCTATTCCAATTGAAGATGCTGAGCGGATAAAAATTTCAGATTCCATACACATTTCAGCCGAAATTTCAGGTAATATGGAAGTGTGGTGATTGTGTTTTGTGATATCCTAGTGATGATACGATAATTCCTACAAATTCATTAATGTTCCACTGTAGGTGATGAGGCACTTATCAATCAAGGATGGTCACTTGATTCGTCTAGAGCCGGCAGTTCTCGCTGCAGCCACCAGCGCTCTGCTTGTCTCAGTTCCACCGTTGAAACAGCAAGTTAGAACAGATAGGTATGTATTAATAGTTTTTGAATGGAAGCCTGATGATTTAGCCAGAAGCCTTAGAACATAAGTGGTGCGAAAGAGCCGTTCTCAGCTGCACCGCTTCATTTATATTCAAACTTGTGAAATCTAAAAACGACTTTTTTCTAAAACATTCCTCTGTCACTACCCAAAATAGTGAGTGAGAAGCATTTTAAAAAATGTTCTAGAGATTTTTCGAGGATCCTGATGGCCAATTATGATTTTCTGACAACAAACGACCTAATCTCCATTCAGGTCAGTTTTCACGGTGTAAATATTCAAATGCTTGCTTCAACTTGATACTTGAATACTTGGACTACCAGTTGCCACAAGTAGTGCATTAGATTAAAGAAACTGAACAGAGGTTATGGGCTGGTTTCATGCCAGTGGCTTTTATACGAGACCCGTGTGAGAACGACTGCTCCCCTATTCTTTACTAGAGCCTCTTCTCTTTGTTCTTTTCCATATTCAGTGGATGTCGTTGGTAGACTTATAATACGGCTTTTGTAATCAGAGAACAATCCAGATCGATTTGTTTGCCCTCGCGCCACGACTTTCCAATGAATTGACTTTTCTTTCGGTTTAGTCCTATCTTGTCAGCGAAGTCCTATGCTTTTTTTCCTTCGATGGTTTCTTTGAGCATCAGCTCTGCGTCACTGACACTCCTCAAAAATATTAACGACGTCTTCAGCAAAACAAAGTTTTAAGAAGAGTATTGTTTTCTGTTCCTATCTCAATCGAGTGCTCTACGGCGTCAGTAAACAACTCTGGCGAAATTGTGCTGCCTAGTGGCACCAGTTTCCCTTTGAAGATAGGGCGGAGTCAACGTAAAAGCCGTATTTAATTCTATAATTGTAACTCCCAAGTCCGACTTTCTATTAACTTCGGCATTGATTGAATATACCTTTCTACTTCTGTACAGCAAACACGAGGTGCTATTTTATTTCTTTATTTACGCACAAGCTGACGTTTCGGCGGATTTCGCCTTCCTCAGAGCCTGGAGGGGTCAACTTGACAGCAATCCATTCAGCCAAACACCTCCATAACCAAACAGAGAAAACGCTAAACAAAGATTTCAATCACATTTAGCATAGCTCTGCACACTCACCGCTTTCTATGAGTCTTCCACTGAGTATGTCGCGTGAAGACCGACCGCACAGAATTCACATGGAAGCGTAATGTGCCCCTCCTATCAGAATAACAGGTTTATATACTGTCGAATACCACGCGTGATAACGAGGCATTCCTCCCTGCGGTTCATTTTCGGATTCTTGGAATTAATCCAGAATGCCTCTAGAGTTTTGCGCGCTTGTGTTCTCGATTCTAGCGCGATGATCGTAACCCTTACTTCAAAATCTTCTCCGTTATGTTTCTGCGTGCTATGCCTACCGAGTGGAGTACTTGGCTTACGTTTGTTGACTAGGTGTTCTTTTATACGTACGCAGAGTGGTCTACCCGTTTCGCTAACGTATTCGTCCCGCACACTTTACAAGAGATCAGATAGACTGTACCCGAACTCATGCAGTCACCGTCTCTACCATTAGGGCAAATTATGCAATTTTGCGTTGCACATAAACTGTCGTATAGGCGGTTATGAACTAGCTGGCTCCTTAGTTTACTCGGTGGTATTTCGATTATCGTTACCGAATTCTCTAGACTGGCCCTTCTTAAACAACGTTTTGTAGCTGCACTTACTTCATTTGAAACGAAGGGCAGTATAAACAGGACGTTGTTGCCGCTAAAGCTATCGTTGGGGTGCCTGTGGTTTCCTCTACACCTATTTCGAACTACGGTTTCGTAGCCATTAAAAATGGCTATTTGCCGCGCCAAGTTCCAGGGCTCCTCTCTCTGTTGTCTTCCTGTGCACCCGCTGGTAGCTGTTCGATACATGTTTATCACAAGCGCCCTTTTCGTGTGAGAGGGATGAGAGGAGAGGTAATGAACCAGGATGTTTTTACTACTTGGCTTTCGATACCACTTCGTAATGTAGCCGTTTTCTGATAGGCTAATTTGCACGTTCATAAATGGAAGCCAGTCTTCTTTTGGTTTCTCTCGGGTGGATTTAATATACTCTGACTGTGTGCTCAACAACTCGAAACATCTGTCGATTTCTTCCTTCGTTGAACAAATGACCAAGCAGTCGTCTATATATCTACAGTAGAGTAATGAACTGTGGTCGATTACTGGCGCTTCCACCTTAGACATGAATGCAATGGCAAGGTTTGGTGCCAGTCGTTGTCCCATTGCCAGCCCTCTCATTTGTGCGTAATACCTCCCGGACCATCTGAAGATTGAGCAGTTTAGGCACTCCTTTAAGAGTGTCATCAACTGCTGAATCGAGAAGCCGTACATGTTTATTGCTTCTTCGTATTGTATAAGGAGCTCGTTTATGGCTTGCATAGCGGAGTCATTCGACACGTTCGTATAGAGGGCAGTGACGTCGAACGACTCCACCACGTACGCGCTGTTGGTTCGCGCGTTACGTAGACGATCCAGGAACACTTGGGTGTTCGTTAGATGAGCTGGAATGTACTTCAACAACTGAGTAAGTATTAGGGTTATTAACCACGTTATTCTATCCGTTGGCCCGTCCACGCCGCTAATGATAGGTCTAACCTTAAATAACGATGGATCGGCAGACACGAGATCATCGCTGGATACTAACTTATGGGTTTTGATAAGTAAGTACAGGACGGGACATGTTGGTAAGTCAATTTTGAGAAATAAAGTCAATCCGAAAATGAACCGCAGGGAGGAATGCCTCGTTATCACGCGTGATACTGGACGGTATATAAACCTGTTATTCTGATGGGAGGGGCACGTTACGGTTTCATGTGAATTCTGTGCGGTCGGTCTTCACGCGACATACTCAGTGGAAGACTCATAGAAAGCGGTGAGTGTGCAGAGCTATGCTAAATGTGATTGAAATCTTTGTTTAGCGTTTTCTCTGTTTGGTTATGTAGGTGTTTGGCCGAATGGATTGCTGTCAACTTGACCCTTCCAGGCCTTGAGGAAGGCGAAATCCGCCGAAACGTCAGCTTGTGCGTAAATAAAGAAATAAAATAGCACCAAGTGTTTGCTGAACAGAAGTAGAAAGATCTATAATTCTAAATTTTCTGATCTTATAATCACTGTGTTTAGCTAACATGAAATTGCCATAAAATTTCATTCGGCTGGTGCCCCGTCTTATTCAGAGCCGTATTTATTCAAGTCGATTTCTCACATCCGATGCTTTTTAACGGCGGGGTATGTTGCGAAATATAATTTTAATCTATATTTCGCGACATACCATGCCGTTAAAAAGAATAGGCAGTAAATAAAGAGGTTAAGATTGTGATTATAACTATAGCCTCAGCTTAACTGGGTTCCTTGCCGATTTGGGCTCCCCAGATCAATCCTGTTGACGGGTGATTGCTGATGGCCAGTGGTCGATAGAACTAGCTGAGAGACAGGAGAAACGAACGACCCGCATGGTGTGGTGGTGAACGCGTTACTCCCTGGTAAGGACAATAGCGCGTTCGCTCCCCACCGCAGACACCTTCGATCTGGAGTTTTGCGAATACAAATTGTGTTATAATTCTATTATATGGAGAGAAACTGTAAAATGATTTTTGCATTGCTATATGATGCTACAGCATTCGCAAAGGAACTTAGTCCTAAAACGTGCACAAGAAAAGTAAAATTACAAGTCTTGCATCGGTTCCCGAACAACCTGTTAGATATACAGTCGAATTAAATTTCGAGGACGGCGCAACAATCGGGATCGAGCTTCATTCGATGTTCATGCAGTATAATGCTATTCCTATTTCGAAAATTCTTCTATATCAAGAGTCACTTAAGTGTCTAGCCACGTAATTATTGTGTCTGTATCTCAGCTACTCTCCAATTTTAGGTCGATCGTCACAGTTTTAACATCTTAGTAAGGGATGTAAAGCCAGATGGCGCAGCGTGTATCTTAGTTCCGGACGTGGTGAAAATTCTGTCGGACACCGTCGAAGAAGCACTGACACCTAACTCTGAGGTTATTAGTTTTCTGTTCTTCAAGAAAAAATAGTGTCTATTTCATGGTCTGTAATTTTAGGCTAGCATTTTCATTAATACTAAAATTAAGAAAATAACATTAAAATTCATACACTAGACGTTTTGCGGCATTTTCGTTCCCACGAATTTGGCGACAGACTTATGAGGCGACAGACCCGCTGACGGGTGATTGCTGATGGCAGAGATCGGTAGAACTAGCTGAGAGACAGGCGAAACGAAGGACCCGCATGGTATGGTGGTGAAGGCGTTACTCCCCGGAAGGAAAAATAGCGCGTTCGTTCCCCACCATAGACACCTGCGGTCCAGAGTTTTGCAAATATCTCAGAAACTTTGTGGTTGTATTTCGCTTAGTACCCTGCCGCGAAATTATAGTAGGCAAAAAATATAAAGGTATAACATTGAGACTTATGAGTGTTTCACGAAAATTTTTTCCGGATCTAACTCTTGGCAATGACGTTTTCAGCGAATACTAATATATTAAAATACATCCATTAGTTTAGGTTCCCTTGCAATCCCACTGTGATCAACCTTGCTCACTGAATTCTGCAGCGGCTCCAGGATTGCTATTAAATACTCAGCGCAATCTCCGTGGATATCATATTCATCCAGTAGAAGGTAATAGCTTCACAGATCACTTATTCAGTATTTATTGTGGAATTCCTCCTTGACCCTGTGTTCTATGAGAATAGGATGGAAAATGTTTTAAAGCAGTTCCCACGATCGATTTTCTCTTAACTACGGCATTGATTAAGTAGTTTACAAATTCTTTTTGAGAAAATACGAGGTGTCATTTTATTCTTTATTGACGGAAAAGCTGATATTTCGGCAGATTTTGCCTTTTTCAGAACCTGGAAAGGTTAAGTTGACCACCATTTAACCTTCCGAACAGCTCCATAACCAAACTGAGAAAATACTTATTTATGTGATCTTATAAACTGATCTTCTTAAGCTGACACGAGGTTGGTACAGATCTTCGTTGTCGTTGTTTTTGATGCTGCTGGTCGATGGCTGACGTTTCGGCGACTTCACCTTCCTGAGAGCTTGGACGTATTTAATATTAGAATATTTTTATTATTCGGTGGAAAAAAAAGGTTAAAGTGTTAATGAAGATCAAACTTTCAAATAGACGCCATATTGAACAGAAAAGCCACTCACCGTGATGTTACGCGCGGGACTGGTCCACACGTAGTCCACGTGGGGTCGCTAGCAAGGCACGCACCGGGGTCAAAATATCATTTTGATGTTATGTTTTGAAAATGATATTTTGACCCCGGTGCGTGCCTTGCTAGCGACCCCACGTGGACTACGTGTGGACCAGTTCCGCGCGTAACATCACGGTGAGTGGCTTTTCTGTTCAATATGGCGTCTATTTGAAAGTTTGATCTTCATTAACACTTTTACCTTTTTTTTCCACCGAATAATAAAAATATTCTAATATTAAATACGTCCAGGCTCTGAGGAAAGCGAAATCCACCGAAACGTCAGCTTCATCACAGTAAAGAATAAAATAACACCTCGGATTTGTTCAACAAGAATTAAAAAATTGTCTTTAAGCAACTGAAACATTTTCTTACGACACCAATATTACCGATTTGCTAACCATCTTTGATTGAAATGATTTTTACACACATCACCGAAATGGTGGTCTCCTGCGTTATTCATTCTTCTTCTGCATAGCATTGTTTTCTCGGATTGGATCGACACGACCAACATCTAAATGAAACAATGGCTCGATGCCAAAATCAGCTGTCTGTAATATGAATAGCCTTTTTGTCTAACAGAGTTCTGTATTCTCCACGACAGTATCCTCATTGTAAGGATGAGATTCGTGGAAATTTTGTGTGAAATAGTGGCGGGGTTCACTAAAGTTCTTCTAGAAGCGTGATCATAACTGAGTGCATTTTAAAATAACATTTTCAGAAATCTACCGTGATAATTTCAAAGAAGAAACCGAACATACTTCAGACAACAATAACGTACTGTCGCAGATAGTTAGTAAGAATTGGCCGGAATGGAATCCAGCAACACTGGGCGAGTCGCCCTTCAGGTCAGAAAGTCTTGGAGAGTCGTTGTTTATGTCTATTTATTATTAACATTCTTAAAACCTTTGCAATAGCGTTTGTAGCTGTTATTTGACTACTATGGAAATCTACATGAAACTTTGTGACGAAGATTCGTTATAGGCTTAATAAAGTTGCGTTCATTTCAGTGGAGTTTTGATCAGCGACTGTAGTTTGTCATCGGTTTGTTAAAATATAACATAGAAGAAGAATAAGTCATTGACAAGTTCTCAATCAATTACTTTACTTAGAGTTATGGTTCAACAATGAATGGAAGCGCTCAATATCTCAACGCTCTCAAAAACAGAACAACAAGTAGAAAAGACGAATACAAATGCTCTTTCGTCTATTTTGGTCAGCAACGAATCTCGAGTAGTTCTGAATCTGCTTTTTCCTTCTACCACCCTGAAACACAACTTGAAATCGGTGGTAGTGAGATCATCTAAGTCGCAATCAGATTAGGAACTTCCATACCCAGAAAATCATGGTTGGCGGTGACAAATATACAAAATGATATGTTAATAACACTCGAAAAAAAACTCCCCATATGATGTGACGGACTATAGGCTATTTAATATTTCCTGGTGGCCATCATCTACATCTGACATAAAAGCGCTTCGAAAAGGGAAAATCTGTAGTAAATAACGCTTTTTACAATTTTTTGACGACACCAGAATTTCCTAACGAACTGTGTGATGTTTTCTCATGTATTCAAAATTGCGACAAAAACGGGCACGTATGATCTACACGACAACAACGAACTAATTGTGGTCTGAAATCCAGTACTGTGATTTTGCAGCACAGGTTTCTACTGGATACGATTCCGTTCTTGTAATAGCGAGGTGGAGCAAACTATAAAAGCAGGTCCATAGTTGAGGAAATACATCGACAACCCCACATGAGAACTCGGTTCAGCACCGCCTTGGGTCCTGAACTGCTGGAGGCCTCACCTTTCAGCTTTCATAGATTGGGTAAGCATCGATACCAACTACAATACAATGGCTATTCCGATTACGAGAAGGATCTTCTTCCGCGAGAACGTCCTTCACAAGCATATATGATAAGAAAATGATTTCGTACAGCTTGGGTTCACTTTTGTAAGTAGACATCCTTATCAGTAATGTTACAAACCGATTTTCGTCGTTTGTATGCACACATTTAGTCATTTTGTTCTTATCGTCTTTAGAACAAGGTCGAGTCGTCACAAGAAAGATTTGAGTTGAGCGGAATAGAAGAAGTATCTAGTGTTAAGTGCAATAGAGCGGCTAGTGATCGAAAATATTGACCAAACTAGTTTTATTCTTCATTAGGGTGGAATATGGCTTCCAGATTCAATAGAATTTCAGCCTAAGCGCTAAAATTCCAATTGCTTCAATGGTGCTTAAACCCCTTCGTGATAACAGTAATGGACTTACTTACTTGATACTTGAAAGGCCTCATTTGGTTGCGCGGGCCCAGCATGATCTCCACTTTTCGGAGATTTGCTGGTTGAGTCATTGTAGTTTCCTGGGATCCCTAGGTCAGCCTGGCCAAAGTCTTCCCTAGGTCTTCACCACCACAGACAGTCGGAGCACTTGTGGATCAGAGGGAGATTTGTCACCAAGCGACTTTGATACCGGGACGGTACTGGACCCTAGTATTGGTCTATTCTTGGCTAGGCTTCCTAATGGAAACGCCGGCCGAACTCCTCAGCTTGAGAGACCCTGCCAGGGATGAATCGCAGTCCATCGCAGTCCATCGCAGTCCATCGCAGTCCTACACCCTCCCAGCCACGGTGAGGCGGTAAACCGATGGGAGGAACAATAATGTGGTACTTATATATGCGCAAACAGTAGTGTGAAAAGTGTAAAAATTTCGTAAACTTTAGACAGTAAACAGTCATATTTAGCAAGTAAATAAAGCAATGCGTTTTCACTGATGGTCAGATGCCATGCGGTCAACGAATGCCTTCCAAATTCATGTATGAAAGCGATTTATAGAGAGAAACATTGGGGCGTCATAAAACGATTCTTGGTGACTTGCTTTTCTCGTAAAACTCGCCTAACTTCGTCAATACTTTGTTAGGAAGCTTACTACTTCTCCGTTGTCATAGGCAGCGTTGAATGGGTGGCGTCTCCCCGTCTCAGCCAGTCCGATGACGTCGTACTTTTATCCTTCTTTACTGCTTGATCAAGTTCTCTATCAGATTTTTATCGAGGACTCACATGTAAGTGTGTGTGCATTATAGGTACAAATCGTCACCTTAGACCTTCGAGATTTATGAACACCAGAATAATCCTGAAAATTTGGCAGCGTCTCCGTACTCATCCTACCTAGCATAGCCATATCGGGGTTCTTTCAGTGTCAGGGGAATGAGAGTCATTTGTTTTACTGGACTCAGCAATTGATAACCACATATAGCTTGCTGGACTCTGAATCTGGGATCTAGGTATACTCAAGGGTAGCTTGCCAGTCTCTCTCAGAGTAGACAAGAGGGTTATTTGTTGGAGACGACTGCTAACCGTCCCCCTTCCCATACAGTTTGCTACCACTTGGCTGTAGGCTTTTAGCCGAATTGATCCGTATAATGCATTCCGCATAAACGGGAACACACCCACGCAAGCATATATGAATAAGCCTTCACACGAACAGAAGGCATGTGCCAAATCAGCGCAGCAGAAACAGGTAGTCAGTCCATCCCCTGGATTCGTCGTCTGCGTTTGAAGGAAGCAAAGATCGCTTTTATTCCTCGATTAACCCCTTATTAGCCAATTGGGTCCACACCACGTGACCTCGCAACTAAACGACACCAGATCCCCCTATAAGGTAAATCCGTCAACTTGATCAATCACAATTAGAAACACCGAGGATCCCCAACACAATCTACATTTCAGTGGAATTTTTCTGCTTTTCTTCCTTTTTTGCAGCGTTCCGATACTCGTGAGTGAGAGCTTCCTTCGTCGTTTTCCCAAGCAGTTTACATCGCATCACCATATGTGTATGAACAGATTTCGGAAAATGATTTTGCACTCTTCTAGGATAGTAGACTTCCTGGCAGTATCTATTATGTTGAACACCTCATTCTGTTTGACCTTAATGTATATAAGCTGTTTTCTGTTCAACGTGTTACAATGCAACAAACAGCGAAGCCTTCGCCGTGTTGAAGCAACATCAAATCAATCGCCAAATCCAAAAACAAACGCGCAAAACCCTACTAACACAGACCTATATAGGAGTTTTTTTATTTATAGAAACCGTTATCACATCTACTGTGCGGATCCAACAACTTCTGGCATTCCATTAGTTTCCTTATGATCAATGTTCACAAAGGTATTCGCACATGTTCCCCATGGCTTCGGCTGATGCTTGAAAATTTCGTCTTCTTTATGGATGTCGTAGAAGGTGGAGTCGATTCTGCTTAAAACCTTGGAGATAGCCGAGCTAAGCCGTTCACACATGGATTGGAGAAGAGCACTGATGAGGGCCCACTATAGGAGTCGTAGGATGCGGAAATAATGGCCGCTTTCAAATTTAAACCAACACAAGTTAGTTCATACAGAATTTTATTAACTGCCATAAGAACTGTCGAAATCTACAAATGGAAGTCCACTTGCTTTACCACGATAAAATTCTGATTTTCTGGACCACATGACATGAATTAACTCTACGTTATTGCTTTAATGCTCATATTTCCACCACAAGGCAAATGAATTTCTTCTAACAAGGGACATGGTATTCCTCAATGTGCCGTCTATGTTTGTAGTTGCCGCTTTATCGCCCGAAATTTCAAAACCCTTTGCTTCATTGCTAACGAAATTGTTATATACAATTGATGAAGTATAGCAAAGTGATCTTTTTCATAGCTAGCTATGTACAGTACCGACTGCTGCAGGATGAATTGCCCGCCCAAAATAGATCCTACCGGATGCAGCAATCGATGAACACCACGTCGTATATAAAAGGGAATCTGAAGTAGAGTGAACGACTTCAGTGGTGCTCCTTCCACTAGATTCGACTTGATGCCACAACGAATACGCATATGGCGACAACGACCAGCTGTGGCTCATCGACTCGGATCATTCCGGCTCTGAAGAAGAAGAACGATAGCCGAATAAACTTTTCTTATCAACTTCATACTATCATAATAATCCAAAAAGCGAAAAGTCTCTTCTGTAAATCCTTAAAGTTTTGGACACCTGAAATGTTCTAGTCTTCGAGAACTCTTCGCCAGTGATCGAAAAAACGGCTTCGTTGCGAAAAGGATAAAATATCGTTGTTCACGTCTTTAACATAGTTTAGGGTAGATACCCGTATCCATTAAGTATATACTCAATGATCCTCTGAGAAAGTGTTGGCATGTAGAAACTATGCTTCAGTATAAGTAAGAGTTGTTTTTCATCATGACAAGCCCCTATTCTTTACTAGGGACGCCTCACAATGTTTCATTACAACAGATGTCGACCTCTCAATGAACAAAATCGATAAAGATATTGTTGAGAAAGGGATGGACAATAATGCATGAAAGATAAATACTGGAGTATGGAAGACTGTGGAAGCATGATCAAATGTAAAAAATCGACGAACTGCGGACAAAATATATTCACAGATTGCTGATAACACCTATAGGTTAAAACAAGGCTAAGAGAAAGGCGAAATGAAAGACCCACATGGTGTGGTGATGAACACGTTAGCCCCCGAAAGGCTAACATCGGGTTCGATCCCCACAGCAGGCACCGGCTATCCGAAGTTTTGCAAATACCTCAACATCGTTGTGGTTATGGGGTGCGTGTGGCGCAGTGATCGCAGTGGTTCATCCTTTACCTATTGTGATTATGTTCACAGACTTCACAAATCTCACATGTTAAAGGACAAAAAAGTGTGAAAATCAAAACTAAAAAAAATGAAGAAGGGAACCTGCTAACTCAGTTAGTGTGGTTGCAAGTTATTAAATCCTTTATCCTAATGTATGAATGTCTCCTAACGGTTTACCGCCTCATCGTGGTTAAGAGGTGTTCCTAGGTGTCGCACTGCGATATACAGCGGGGGATTCGTAC